GAGAGAGAGTTAATTGTAAATGATCAAATAGCTTAGTTCAATCTCTTATGAGAAATTATTGAGGCAGCAAGGACAGTATACTAGAACATCAAAATTCAACATCACTAAGGAGGATAAACTCATCCTGCAAAGTCATACGCATAAAAAGGTAGTTGAGGAAAATTTTTATGTACCTTTCATCCTTTTGCTCCATCATATTTTTGGTTGCATTTGCAATCCTATTAGCGATCCATTTGTTCACTGTGAATAGAATTGTTAATATCCATAGGAATTCGTATTCCAAATGTAACTCAACCCAATATTGAAATCGGAGCATCAATATTTGGATATAGAAGATATATATGATGATAACATCAGTAGCTCAAGAACCAGACTGCAGTTTGAAAATATCTTAAATTCAGAAATTAGCCTTCAATGGCAGGAAAAAAATGTAGAACCTTTCAATTAATTTTTATGCACAGGACGTGTATATAACTTTTTGGGAATTGTGAGGATTTTACTACAATTTATTTTGTTAATGCTGGTTTTGACTGAGTATATAAGCACTATTTAAATATAATTATTACCTAACTGGGAAAAAATTAGCCCTCCTTAATGGGTAAATTCAATATTGTTCTATAAACTAACAATGGAAATAAAACAAACGAGTGGTAAAAGGAAATATGTGATGGAAAGAAACAATATTTTTCAATTATACTTGGCATTCTTATTCCACTTTTTATATGCCTATATATGTTAGAAACCTTCTTTTATAATGTTTACTTTATGAATACAGAACAGAAAAATACATAAGGGGTTATTTTGATATTCTTGTGTGGAGGCAGAATATAATTGAAAAATCATCTGTGTCCAAGTAGAAATTAAAGAATTAAAAAGTTGGTCAACTTACCTGGTATTAGCAAAATAATTATTGCTACCCCAGATAAAAAGGCAAACTTTACTTGTTGATAGAGTAGAAACAGAGCAATTCCTATTTGCAATGGCAAACTGAGGCAGTTACACAATAATCACAAGTCAAGAATTAATAATAAAATGTTACTGCTTCACAAAAACTAGGAATATATGATATTTAATCTTTGCTAATGGTACTGATTCAGTGTAAGAGTTTATGATAAGCATTGTTCCACACATTAGCACCTTCAGAAAGAAGATATCGGCCATATTTAGAAAATGTTAATTTCAGAAATATTTAGTGAGAGATACGATACAATACGATACGACTACGATTCCAAGTGGTTAAAGGTGTAGACATTTAACCTCCACATATCGTGAACACTGTTGCAGAGGTTTACAATTCGATCAGCATCAATGGACATGAATGTTTGAATTTCTCCTTCTGAAAATGGTGATCTCTCCGCTAAGCTAACACAAAGACACTGAAAGAATATATACTGGCCGTCATGTGGTTTGAAAGGAAAAATATTGACAAACAAAACAAAGGGATACTACAATTTTTATTTTAAATATGTGAAGAAGTCCTAAAAAATTCAATGCTCGACTTTTTGAACTGTTCCCAAGAGCCTTCTTGGTGATACCATACAGCAAAGACTGAACAAACCATGCATTACCTACAAGACCTATAAGCAATCTGTCACACAGGAGTCCATGTGTCATGAACTTCTCTTTGTGAATATGCAATAGAGATAAAGAAGATTTACCTTCCGATAGATGACAGTTGAGATACTGGATCTCAACTTGAGCCTAAGTTTTGAAAGATGAAGAGTATATTGTGTATCTAGGAAAGATCTGCAGAATTAATTGAACACCAGCATTTAAACACTTCTATGAAACAAAGACAAGAATTGATTCACTATAAGAACATAGATAGTGGCACTTGACTAGCATTAATGTGGTTAAATACAACAGAATGGAATGTAAGTATGGGACTTCCTATTTGAACCCCTTAAGAATTCGACACTCCTCCCGCAAAAATAAAAGGAAATAGTGAATGGCATTTTTTAAGCCCTCTAGGGGCTTGAAACCATAATTTAGGCTTTCCATTCATTATGACAGACCAAAAAGACTTGAAAGACCATAATTCATTTCCTCCAACATCCTCTAAAATATATTTCCATTATAATTATATACAACATGTTTGGATAAGTTGTTATGTTATTAAGTGAAATTTTTTTTACTTATATTGACAGTAAAATATGGTTAATTTCAAAATAAGTAACTTATTTTGAACTTTGAATAACAAAACGTTTATTTATTTTAAAACTTACTTATTTACTTATAAATAAATATTTTAAGGATAGCCAAATATGCAATTGTCATCTTTTAAAATCTGAAAAAAAATAAAGTCAGCTTCTTTCTTTAACTGATAGAGTGCCAAGTTTAAAAATATATAAATAAATAAATAAAATTTACACCAGAGCACTTTCTAAGTGAAAAGTAAATAGAAATGACTGAGAATATAGAATCGAAAGCGCAGGGAAGAAAAATTACTTCAAAACAGATATCAAGCCCAAGGATATTGCTAGAAAGTAACCATTGGCTTCTCTGGAACCTGTTGATGAAAACTTGAACAGATCAATAATTATGGCTTTCTAAACATTTCCACTGCTTTTCAGCAGTAGTTCAATGCCGAATGAGCCAAAACTCGGTAAGAGGGCACTTTACATGAGACAAGTTGGTTTAGACTTATAGTTGATAAAATTGAAAATAAAAATCAATTAATTGCATTGATCAGCAGAGGATAACAAATGCTATCGTATCTGAGGTTATCCGACGTAAGACACAAAGGCAAGGAGAAGAGAACCCAGTCTAAACTACGACTAAACTTAGGAAATCAATCATTTGTACATCAATTCCTCAAATAGAACTACAAATGCTGGAGTAGCCTTGCATACATAGGCCCCTACAGAGGTTGAGAGAATTCCAAAATTAACAATAAATTACAAGCATTGATAACAATAAATTAAAATAACTGCCATAACTATTAATTGATCTAATATATCTGGATCTTTGTTCCTAAATCATACATTTTCAGAATCATGTCAAGCATCAAGCACCAATTCCACAGTTGCTGTATACTACATTGTAATGAGCTAGACTACTTATCCTCGTTAAAAAACTATATGCCTTGATTTCAATGTTGACATCCAAAATTCGTGTAAATGAAAATAGATCTTAATCATTTTATTTTTCACACTTGATTCTACTTTTCCTGAATATGATACAAAAGTACAAATTGAGTCAAAGCCACTTATCAAGACAAGATAACTGAATATCATCATTCTTCAATTATTACAGTTTTCTCTTCTCCGAATTTTATGAGTAAGGAGAGTGTAAACCTTTCTGAAGAAAATGAATTAGCTTATTGAGAAGTATCGGTCCTGCAAAACCAAGGCAGTCATTGAGAACCTGCATAAAAGCAATTAACTAATGAAAGACAAAGTTGCAAAAAATATGCACGCTATAAGGAGTTAAAGATCAAAATCCACTGAATTTAACTAGACAGAGACTCTAACTCTAAAGAGGTGTAATATATGGCTACAATAAAATAGAAAATGACTCAAGAGTCTCGGTAAGGCAGATTAAAGAAATGTAAACTAAATCATACAAACCAATCCAGAGAACACATAAGCACTCATCAAAATTCATATCAAGTTTCAATCTTTAATCACATTAGAAACTATAAATTTCATATCAATTTCTACAATGAAACAATAGTTAATATAGAGAAGTAAAAGGAATTGCCACTTCTGGAAATTATGAACTATGATCTTCCTCAAATGAAATTTTACTTCAATGGGAAAAAAATTTATTCAATCATATGTAAAAGTAAGTATATAAAGAATAATGACGAAAATATATTTTATTTCCCGTTGTGGGATTCATGACAAGACAACAAGTTCAAAAACCTAGTATTTCATTTGACCCATCAGTAACATCACCTTTTTTTGGTAAAAGTCTTGCAGGAGTCACCTGTTTTGTATTTTGCTTTTCTATTACTTCCGAGAAACTACAAAGAAAAGCAGCATACCAATACCATACCTTTAACAGACCGAGGCAGAAATATGGCCATCCATATGCTGAATATATTGCCTTGAATAAAGAAGGATGGGTAACGGTATTTGTTCGTTGTGCATTCCAACAGCTTAGTAGAATGTTATGGCAGAATAAGGGATCCATATCCGAGGGTAGCTGAAGCAAATCTTCAAAATCAAGCTGCTTTTTCATACCCCGTTGCATCACAGGATCAATAGATTTGAATGTCATAAGACGCCAAACATTGCCAACAATTCCCTTTACGAATAACATAGAAACATGTAAACATGGAACCATATAACAAGGCAGAACATAACTGAGGAAAATGTATTTTTAGAGGCTTAAGACGAGTGGAAATAATTAAAATTGGTCATAGTCAACTTTTTTATTCATGAAACTAAAGGTTAAATTGGGATGCTAAATATAAATAGCATAATGATGGGAATTACCTACCAGATCAGTCAAACAATCTTCTTTAACTTCCATCTTGCAGGGGAGAAGTGATTCCTCCATTGAGCTACTATTCAAAAAGTAACTGTAATTACCATAATCGATTTAGTATATCATCACAATAATCGATTTAGTATATCATCACAACAAGAATGATAAAAGGACCAACTTTCATGTTGATTGCACCCAGGTACGAGCACGTAATATGCAGAGATGGGATAGAATCCTATGGGATACAAAATGTATCAGCAATGAAGAAAATTGACGCGTAATAATCTTCAACCGTTCTAACTTCAAAATGTAAAACAAAAGAGGTAGAAAAGGAAGATGACAAATGCCTAATAAATTTTTCATTCCAAACTCCAGAAAATGAACTGATAATTAAGCTCAGAAACTATAAGGTTATTTTCAATTTATTTCTCATGAAGAATTCAAATTGTGAAAGAGTGACACATATTTATCTAATGGTATATACTTAGCTTTTTTGTCCAAAGTGTCCTTACTTCTACACTGGATTAGGAATCCATTTGGCATTATATCTCATCTTTAACCCATAATGGCATAAGTTTGAGCCTTGAGGTTTAGCTAACACTAAAGAATCCAGAATTGACTAGGTTTTCTAAGCATTCGATATTGCTTGCTCTGATATCTTCTGCGGATTATAACATTCATTTAGAAGTTTCATATCAGTATTAAAGTTTTGGTGTAATCTGATTTATTTAGGGTTAAAGTACAAATGTAAAATGTAAAAAATCTACAAACAGTTTATCGTGCCTCCAGGATTCTATATGGCATAAGTTTAAGATTGTATCTACCTGCTTCCATGAGCTGCCCACTTTATTCTGATTATGTTTATCAAAATTCCAAAAAGCATGTCAGTAATAGCCACACAGCTCTCCTTTAGCCATCTTAAAACCTGTAAGTAGATAATATGAAACTCAGACAATTCTATTTTGAGTTAATTAAACTGTAAAAGTTGTTTCTGTGGAATAAAACAAGGCCAGTGTAAAAGCAGAAGGTTTAGAAGAAAAAGTTCTAAATGAAAACGAAGCCTTATTTCCAATAAACCATGCATCAAAGTCTACAATATGTTCATGAGACATAAACAAATAGATCAAGAGATATTGCTCCGTAATTAAGCAGGACGCACTCCAATTTCATAATAAAATTGATGAGGACAAAATTTGTTCCATCATCCAAAATATAAGGGAAAATTTTACATAAGGTATATGCCAAGAGTTACCCCTGGTGAAGAAAAAACTATTTGCAGTCGAGGGATCAGCAGAAACAATTTTGCAATCCACCAAAAACACAGGACGCGATTGCACAAGACAACCAACCGAGTTTCGGACGTTGCTACAAGTATAACTATAGCCTGAAATTGGTAACAGCGAGAAAACAAAAGTTCATTTCCAGAGTAGAAGAAGAAAGCTTCAGCTTGCTCATTTCCATCACTTTGGGAAAATTTGAACTTACCCAGAATGAGAACTGTGAGAAACTAAATAGCCATTCATGATATGCAATGGGGTATGCATTTAGTCTTCTCCTTATAAGCACAGCCATGTCCAAGAATGCGAAGCATAATCCAATTGTAGGTAGAAGATAAAATAAAATCTTTGCTGAAAGGGGTATCTGTGTAATTTCAGTTGACATATTGAGAACAATGTGATAGAGAGGTAAGAGTAAAAACTTGAAGTGATACATGTACAAAGTAAACATGAACCTGGTTCCATAGTCCAGTGGCAAAAAATAGAAGAAAAGTAGATAAATAATGAAAGATCATAATAATTATGGTATATATTTAAGTTAATAGCATGTTTGGCTAAGCTTAAAAGCGCCATGGAAGTAGATAATTTATTTTTGGCAGTTTGTAGTTCATTACTGCTGAAAAAAGCTCCTTTGCCTTTAAAATTAGCCACACATGCTCAAAATCAACCCCGTAAGCATGGTTAACCCTTAAACTGCTAACTATCTTCTCTTGAAGGCAAAAATACTGGAAATACGAGATCATGTCATCATACAAATTGGCAGACTTGAGTAACTAAACGAACTTGAGATCTAAAAGCTAAATGAATGTTGGTAATGCAATTCCTTTTAATGGCTCATTGTATTAGCATTTTGTGACCCCATCCGAGTTATTACATAAATGTTAAGCTCCATTTCAAATTCAGACAATGACAAAGATTAAATTGTAAAAGTCAACTGTTGTGACCTCATTGCTTCTTTCATGAAACAAATCAAGTTTACTGGCATACCCTCCTACGTTCTTTCTGGTGCCTTGTAGTGATTCCGAGTACAGCAACTATAACCACAGTCACTATGTTCACACCGAGACCAAGAACTGTGAATACCATTAAGGGGAAAGAAAGGGAAATACAGAAATAATACTAATACTGCATGTTTCGTGTGTAGCATGCAACAGCACTAGACAATATAATGAACAAGATACTTTAGCTTATCTTCATTCATTAACAGTGTAGAGAGCTATCTAATCCTCTCCCTGTATGAAATTACTGTTGAACAATATTATGTACCATTTGTGTAGTTACGGAGCTTATTAAGAAGTTAGTTAGGAAGTTAGTTATGCCATGTCAGCTGTGAAGTTAGTTTACCAGCTGGAAGTTAGTTGGAGTTAGCATTTTCCATTTTCTATTTATACTAAAGTTGTATGAACATTTTACTCGCTTTTTGTATAATCAATGCAAATTGTCCTTCATTTCATTCGACTCTAATATGGTATCAGAGCAGAATTGAGCTGCGATCTTCTACATCTTTTCAATTCAGAAATTGCATCTGTCATTTTTTTTATTTATTTTTTTTGTGATTCCAAACAACAATGGAGCAAACACAGTGAGAAAATCGTTTTGACTCAAGGTCAATCATCAGCAAATCAACCATTGACGAACCTTCCAGCCCCATACTTCCTACACCATTCTGATATTCGTGGATGGGTGCTAGTGTCTCAACAGCTTACGGGAGAAAACTATGCCTCTTGGAGCCGTGCAATAACTATTGCTTTATCAATTAAGAATAAGCTCACATTCATTGATGGATCCATGGAGAAACCAGAAGCTACTGATCCAGATCTGGTCAATTCATGGATTAGAAATAATAACATGGTGATATCCTGGATCCTTAACTCTGTTTCGAAGGACATATAAGCTAGTGTAATCTATGCTTCCACGGCGTATGAGATCTGGAATGATCTTAAGGAGAGGTTTTAGCAAAATAACGGACCTCGGATCTTTCAATTGATGAGGCAGCTCATGAATCTGGCTCAAGACCAAACACTGTGAGTGTGTTTTTAACTAAACTCAAAACTATATGGGAAAAATTGACTAATTTCGACCTAATTGTAGCCGTGGAAAGTGTATTTGTGGTGGTGTTCAAAAACTAAATAAACACTATCAGATGGAACATATCATGGCATTCCTTATGGGATTACATTATTCATTTTCAAAAGTTAGAGGTCATATGGATCCTTTGCCCTCAATCAATAAAGTTTTTGCGTTGATTTCACAAGAGGAAAATTAGAGGAAAATACGCACACTTTCAATTGGTGCTGATTCAAATGGAGGAGCTACCTTTGCATTCAGATCTGATAATGGCAAAGGAGCACTCAATCCTGGTTCTTACAATGAGAATGCAAGAATTGGCAACAGGAAGAAGGAGAGAGCATACTGCACACACTGCAAATATCATGGACACTCCATTGATAAATGCTATAAAATTCATGGTTTCCCACGTGGATTTAAACTAAGGCCTAGAGACAATTTCCAACACTTTTCTAAATCTAATTCATAGATTGAGGAAAAGCCAAAGGCAGCAAATTGGCCTTGATGACGATGCTCTCCACTCATGTGGCATCCAATTCGCACTCTATTTCAGGATAAGAATGAATCCACATATGCTGCAGGTATATATCATTCTAAGTCAGTTAGTCCAACTTTTTCTTCCAAAGACATTTGGATTATGGACTAAGATGCCTCCAAGCATGTGTGCTCCATTGCTGTCGCATTTATAAACTTGAGACCTATTGCCGATTCAAGTGTTACTTTGCCCAATCACACATAAATACATGTCAGTCTATGTGGCGATGTCAGATTAGGCCCTAAATTGATGCTACATGATGTGCTTTTTGAGCCACAATTCAAGTTCAATTTGCTATTAGTGAGTTCATTAACCGCTGGATCACATCTCAATTTAAATTTCTTTCATGATCAATTCACCATCTAGAAGGCTTCAATCAGGAGGATGATTGGCAGGGGTAGCATTGTACAAGATCTATATGTGTTGGACACCAAAGGTTCTAATTCTGTATCTAAAGCATTTGTTGGTTTTGTTTCTGCTCGTGTGTGGCATAATGGGCTTGGACATCTTTCTTTTAAAAGACTGGATGTATTGAAAGATCACTTGCTATATGATACTGGGAAATTGAATAAACATTTGCCTTGTTACATATGCCCTCTTGCTAAACAAAGGAGATTATCCTTTGAGTCACATATCATGTGACATTTCACTCTGGTTATAGATACTTTATGACTCTGGTTGATGATCATTCTAGATTCATGTGGCTTAACATGCTGAGACAGAAGTCTGATGCTGTAGGAGTTGTACATAAATTTTTCAACTTAGTTGCCATACAATTTCATGCTGCCATTAAGACCTTTAGATTCGATAATGCTAATGAATTATCTTTCAAAGATTTTTTTGCTAAGAAAGGGGTTATTCATCAATTTAGCTGTGTTGAGCGAGCGACCACAGGCTTATACACCAGCATCTTCTCAATATAGCCCGTGCTCTTCCTTTTTTTTTTTTTCAATCCAGAGTCCCAATCACATTCTGGTCAGAATGTGTGCTAACTGCAGCATACCATCTTCCATTTTACATCACAAAACCCCCTTTGAAGTGCTACATGGCAAGAGAGCAAACTAGTCTTGCCTTAAGAGTTTTTGGTTGTTTGGGGTTTGCATCCACACTTACTATCCACAGGACCAAATTTCAGCTAATAGCCAGGTTGTCTGTCTTTTTGGGCTATCCATCAGGTGTTAAAGGTAAACTTCTTGATGTTTCTTCAAAGCAAATTTTTATTTCCAGGGATGTCGTGTTTTATGAAGACATATTTCCCTTTCACACCATTAAAAATGCTGATCAAGTGTTGGACCCCTTCTCTGATCTGGTTCTACCCTCCTGTTCTTTATCCTTTCCACATGATATCTCCGTTGTTCGTAATCCTGCTACATCTCCTATTGATGTCTCAGTTTCTCAGCCTATTCCTAAGCACCCAAATCCAAATCTATCTATCAAAGAACATCCACAATCCAAGTGCCTTCTACCACTAATATTTGTAAATCTTATAGAGTCTCCAGACCTCCCTCATACCTCAAAGATTTCCAGTGCAATTTGATTTCATCCAATTCTCAACCTTCCAAATTTACTCCTCACCATATTGGCCACTTTCTCTCTTATGACAAATTGTCCATTCCCCATAGCCATTTCATATTAAATGTCTCCTCTCAGTTTGAGCCTCAATACTTCCATCAAACAGTTAAATTCCCTCATTGGCGTGATTCCATGAAGCTTGAACTGGAAGCCACTGAACTCAACCAAACTTGGTCCATTGTTCCCTTACCGGCCGGAAAGTACTCAGTAGGCTGTAAGAGGATTTTCAAGAACAAATATAAATTTGATGGCTCCCTGGAAAGGCACAATGCACGCTTTGTTGCTAAAGGCTTTACACAACAAGAGGGGTTAGACTATTTTGATACCTTCTCCCTAGTAGCTAAAACTGCTTCTGTCAAAGTGATGCTTGCTCTTGTAGCCTGCCATAAGTGGCACTTAGTCCAGCTAGATGTGAACAATGCTTTCTTGAATGGGGACTTGTTTGAGGAGGTTTATATAGGCCTTTCTCCTGGCTATGACCTTCTTAAACCTCTCAAACAAGAGATTGGTGTGTAAATTTGTGATATATGGCCTCAAGCAGGCTTCGAGACAATGGAATTCCAAATTTTCTCATGCCCTCATCCAGCATGGTTCTATCCAATCTAAAGCATATTATTCCCTCTTCACAAAGGGGTCAGGCGATGGCTTTGTAGCCGTGTTAGTATACGTTGATGATATAGTCATCTCCGGACCTAAAATATTCAGGTGATTGATAGCTTGAAGGAATTTTTACATTCTCAATTCAAACTCAAAAGATTTGGGATATTTAAAATTTTTCTTGGGGAATGAAATTGCCTGGACATCTTTGGGAATTATCATTTCACAGAGAAATTATACATTGCGACGGATTGAAGATGCAGGCTACTTAGATTACAAGCCTGTCAATAGTCCTATAGATTCAAAAATTAATCTCAGCTCACATGATAGAGATATGTTATCAGATGCATCTCATTACAGAAAACTGATTGGAAGATTGATATACTTGACCCCTACTAAGCCAGACATCATGTTTGCAGTACACAAGTTAAGTCAATATGTGTCTTAACCAAGGTTGGCTCATCTCAAAGCAGTTCATCACCTTCTTAGCTACTTAATAGGAGTCCTAGCCAAGGTCTTTATTTTTCTTCTAATTTACCTTCATGCTCTGGTTCGTCCATCAAGATTCAAGCTTTTTCTGATATTGACTGGGGATCCTGCATTGACACAAGAAAATCCACTACTGGGTTTTGTTTCTTCACTGGTGATTCATCAGTTTCTTGGAAAACTAAATGCCAACCTACCATTTCTCGTCCCTCAGCTGAGGCAGAATACGGAGCCCTTGCAGCCACAGTTAGTGAGATCATTTGGATCAAGGAATTGTGTTGGATTTTCAAGTTGCTGACACTTCTCCAGCAATAAGCTACTGTGACAATCTTACTGCAATTCAGATTGCAAATAATTCAATTTTTCACAAGCGGACAAAACACATTGAGATCGATTGCCACTTCATTCGAGACAAGATTACAGCTGGGGCAGTTAAACTACTTCCGGTCAGATCACAGCACTGGCTTGCTGATGCATTTAAACCTTGACCTGCTTCCATACTTTCTCCCTTGATGTCCAAGATGTGTGTGAAGAACATTTACAGCACATATTGAGGGGGAGTATTATGTCCCATTTGTATAGTTAGAGAGAAGGTTAAGAAGTTAGTTACCAGCTGGAAGTTAGTTAGTATTTTCCATTTTCTATTTATACTTAAGTTGTATGAACATTTTACTTGCTTTTTGTATAATCAATACAAATTGCCCTTCATTTTCATTCGACTCTAATATACAGTGATATGAAATCAAGCAATCGAATCAAAGGATATAAATTGTCAAAGCACTCTGAAACTCCCTCTTGATTCCACACCTGATCACAGACAAGTAAAATCAAGATCTTTACTTAGAATCACCAATAAATTAAGAAACCAAATATCTGAAACACTCGTCATATACAAGAACTAGAAACACCTTATTTTCCCACCAGGCATGCTAAAATGTAAATCTGAACGAGTCTACGCGCTATCGTGCGTGCGTGTGTGTATGAACGATTATATTCAAAATTAGAGCTGCTTTTCAATTTCTTCTCAAAATTTCACATTTCTTCAGGAACCCGTTCGCTTTCGCGAATTTAAATTCCCCAAATATAATACAAAAACGGTTCATATTTTTCATGGTTTATTCAACCAGAAAGTACAAGAAGTTTACGTTTAGTACGATCAAAAAGTGTTTTTTTTTTTTTTATCTAATTCAAAAGATTATTTAGCTTCCAACAAGAAATTTTATGAGTTCACAATTAAACTCATTACATTCCTAACAATTAAAAGAGAACAGAGCTTAAAATTTGCGTACATATGGAGAATCCGGACAAATGCGCTTCATTAGCTCCATCATCGCCTTTATTTCCTCACTCTGACTGAAGCAGACTACACAGAGTACTGTAAATGGTTCATTTTATAGCACAAGATTAAAGCTCAATTTGGCTTTTGCATGGCTTTTGCAGTGAACGGTGAGCTATTGCTGGGCACCAAATAATTTTTTATGGTCTCGTCTGCTAGTTCTGCTGGTCTCTGCAATTAAGGGTTTTTATTTTACTTATTCGGAGTATATGTTTGGTCATTACTCAAACTATTTCTAAGTTGAATTAATCTATTTATAGATGGAGGTTTACACTCCGATTGACACGGTCCCACCCGACCTCTCACGTGGAAAAGGTCGGGGTCCACACCCAAATGTGTGAGGCCAACCTTCCCATGTGAGATGAGAGGTGGATCCGTGTCAACCGAAGTGTAAAATTCCATATACGAGTATCACTACCTTTCTAAGTTACTTTTTTACCTAACATTTATTTAATATAAAAAAAAACTTACTTGCACACAGGAAAAGGAGGCAAAGAATATTGATTTTTCAACCAACATGTTAAGCGGTTGATCGACTTTTCAATTATATATACTTTATCAATTTTTATAAAAAACGACTGAAATTTTTATCAAAATTTTTGCCAAACAATCCCTATATTTACTTCTTAGTGGCAATATATCTATAATGGTAAATTAGGTCGAACTTCCTAATGTTTCGAATAATGTGATCATGGGTGAATTCCAATCTATTTGAATGTGTAAATTCATGAATATTGTCGATATAAATGTTAAAATTCCGTCAAGTTATAGTTGTATTTGAAATAAATATTAAGTGATTTGATAATTTTATTCTGATGCTATAAGTAATGTTAAAGTCGCATTGAAATTATAACATCTAAATTGATGGTTTTAGTCACGAAAAATGCTTCTTATACATAACTATTTATATTAAAATGTAAATAAAGAATTTATTTGATTGATGAGATTTTGATTCAGTTCACGTCATATTTTGATAAACTATTATATAAATTATTATATACATACAGTAGAATCCGTTAGTTAGTGACATGGGACCTAAACTCACCAATTTAAAAAGGTAATTACATTCAGGCTCACTGTTAAAGTTTGAGAATTGACATCACGTGAAAAGTTAAGAATCTCAATCATAGGCCCGTTTCGGAGGGATTTTGAGAATTAATTTTTTTGAATGTTAGAATAAAAGTGGGATCCACCTGTAAGAGAAGAAGTCAAAAATTACGGCTGAAATAGTGAAATAACGGTCAAAAAATCAATTTTTTTGAGTAAAAAATCCCTCACAAACAGGCTCATAGTTTATTCATCCAATAATAAAGCAATACATGTATGGCAGGTAGGATACTATTGATAATTTGAAAAAAATTGGGCGTACGGATTATATTTTCATAGATTGTATACAGAATAGAGATAAGTGTATGGGTCTCATGTTGTATAAAAAATTTCAAAAATGTGTGTGGGTCCCAAAATTATGAGTATTTTTATATGTATTCTGGCAAAAATAATTTTGTACGTAGGGTTCTGATAATTTACGCTATGAATAACATTATTTGATAATTTGAAATAAGAATATTCTGAAAGTTTGTGTTTATGCTTTTCACGTGGCACGAAACTTTGGAAACCCCTCCACTTTTCTTTTATTTGCTTTTTTATTTTGTCTGCTAGTGGCGTGGTGGCTGCTGGAATCTGTCCCCTTTATTACTGAGTGATTTTTAAAAATGAGTCGAAAAAATAAAGAGATAATATTTAAATATCAGATAGCTGGTCAAAAACTTAAAAGAAGTAAATTATATTGTTTTTATTTTTAAAGAAATGCGATAAATTTATGTGAATTCTGAACTTTTTTAAACAAATCTTTATTCAATTAAACCATATTACGGACGTTTTCAGATATATAAAAAAAAAATTTTAATTCATTTACGGTGAAGAACTGAAGCATAACATTTTCTACTGGGGGCGGAGATATTTTATTGCATATAGACAAAAAATTTAAACTAATACATGCAAGAATTGCTATCATGTTAAAAATTAAATCAATATGTCTTACAAATAATAATAAAGGTGGTGATACAAGCAATATAATGTTTCGAGTCCCCTCAAGGCCACTAAGGTAAATACTCGACTGTAAATTTCAGGATGTCGTGAAATTAGTCGAGTCGTGCGTAAGTCGGTTCGGATACCCACGGTCATAAAAAATGATAATAATAATAATAAAATAATGAAAGATGGAAGCAATAGAATGCATATAATAAAGCTTATTCCATGCATTACACTCTTGGTAATACATGTTTATAACTGTTACAAAAAATATAACATTTTTTGTTATGAAAAAGGAAAAAAATATTTTGAAAATAAAATAAATTGAACAATTATATAAGAATAGTTTAATTGTTTAGGTAGACCGAAACTTTTCGTACCGTTAAATGTGTAGCATATGCGCTTATGATTGGCCCAAATAATTTGTTTGGGCTTTTTGGAGAATGGACCGGTCGTTTGCAGTAATTATGTTTGGGAAATTTACACAAATTGGGATGGTGGCTTTTGTTATTATATTACTTATGTCTCCCACTTTTTCCAATCGTATTCTTAACATAAACTTTCATTAAATCCTTGTTTGAGCCACATTACTATTATAAGAATATATTTTTGAATAGTGTATTGATGAAAAATGTATGATTAAAAAATAAGTAAAAGTTTTAAATTTGCATGTAATATTATTTTATTAAAAAATGTATGATTTAAATTATATCAAATCACTGTTTAAAATGTATTTTTTCAAAAAATGTGGCTCAAATAGGGCCTAAATAGCATGTCATTTCTAATAATGATTTTTATCCAAAAAGTCTGTTTGATACATTTTCATTCCCAAAGCCAACCATCAACACCACATTGAATACAAGTTCGTATATGAAATTTTTCATCGCCAACATCGATCATTGTCATACCAAAAAAGTTATATCTTCGAGGACCCAAAAAATGAACGGAACCAACATTTTTTGTCATCGTCCAAATAGATGGGGTTGGGGAGTCGATCTAATTTTGGGTTTGAATGGTGGTGATGGTGATTTTAGGGTTTAGACATGTACAATATATTTAGAATTTAAAAATAAAATAAATGCTTGGTATTATCCGTTATATTTCTTCGTAAAATTTCCACACAATTACATTGAGGTGTCTATCCAAATGCTCAATATTTCACACAAATATCTAGTTTGCAAAAATAAGTAACTTAAGCCGTTACTATTAGATTGACTAACATGAGGATTTATTTGACACAATCATATGAATCATCCAAATTCTGATTACATTAAAGATAGGCCCTGTTGTTAGGTCCTATCTAGAAAAGTTTTACGAGTCGATATGTAAAGGAAAGAAATGTTAACTATTTTTATATTTTTTTGAGAATCAAAAGTTGAATGTGATTGTTGGCCTCAACCTCGTTTCTCTTGATATGTTGATAAAGCAAGACCTGTCAAAATTGTGGATTGTACAAATCTATATCTCGCTGAGTTGACATAGCCCACTTTTAATTATCAATAAATTTTATACAATCTTATTTAATGAAAATTGATCTTCTAAATATCAGTGTTTAGTTTATGCTAAATACTGATTACATGACACATTATTTAATTAGCATATCATATTATTGATGTTTAGCCTCTAAGAGATCATTTCTCCTAATCTAATTTAAGGTTCCATCACGATGTTACATAAAGTTCAAAATTCAACAACACTTTGACAATAATTTTAAATCGAAAAGTTAAAGTCAAAAGTAAAATCTTTATCTTGCCCAAAGAAAAAGCAAGAGGAGGACAACATGCTTATCTTTTATTGCCTTATGGGTCTTTAACATGACAATGACAATTAATGTCATATGCATAAGACATTTTAGGTAATTTCTTATCTTCAATAGTCAATAGTGTTGGAAAAAATGGTTTAATGGGTCAACTTTGAGCCCAAATTTCAGTGGGACCCACCTTTTAAATAATACGGGACCTAGCATATTCACGTTCTACTCCGCGAGATGATTAACGTGATATATTTATTTATCGAAAACCATTTAAAATTGAATGAAATATTAAGCGTTAAAGTAACCCACATAAACTAAGGATTATGGAAGAATTTGATTTGTCAAACACTTATCCCACATAGGAAAGTTAGGAAACTTTGGTGTGGTTTATAAGGTGGAAGTTTGGAATTGGGTTTGGGCCCCAAGGGGTACCAATAGTCTTTGGAAGGGGGAAGACCTATATCCCATTGGGTTTGGTCATAAACCCACACGCGCGCGCCGCCGTCCGACCGGCCGGCTCGGCTCGGCACGAGCCCGAGCCCGGTTCGGTGCGGGTCCGGGTCGACCTTTACACTATATTAACTTTTTGGACAAAATTTATTTAAAATTTTGGGCCAAATTGTAA